CTGGTGTGCTGGCTAATTTTATGTTAACTTGACACAGGCTAGAGTCATCTGAGAGGAGGGAGCCCCAGTTGAGAAAATGCTTCTCTAAGACTGGGCTGCAGGCAAGCCTGTAGAGAATTGTCTTAGTCAGTGACTGATGAGGAAAGGCCCAGCCCATTTTGGGTGGGATCATCCCCTGGCTGGTAGTCCTGAGTTCTGTAAGACAGCAGTCTGAACAAGCTGGGTGGGAGAGCAAGCCAGTAGGCAGCACCTCTCCATGGCCTCTGCATCAGCTTCTGCCTCCAGGTTCCTGCCCTGTGTTGAGTTCCTATCCTGATTTTTTAATGATATGGAAGTGTAAGCCAAATGAAAATAAACTTTCCTCCCCAGCTTGTTTTTGGTCATGGTGTTTCATCACAGTATTGTATCCCTAACTAAGACACCTGGGTTAGACTTTACATATATTCCCTTGCACACGCAACGACACCTTCATACTCACATAGCCTACTTCTGGGCATCTCATATCCCTGAACTCAGAAGTGTACAAATCTCATCTCCAATGACAGCTCTCCTGCCATTTGAGTTTTCATAAAGCCAGAAACCTGGGAATCAACTTTTTCTTCTACTCCCTCATATCTACTAACAAACTGGGCCTACTTACCATTTAGGCACTGCAACTTTTCCCACAATTCATTCTGCTCCTATTGCTACTGCCCTAGATTTGCATTCTAGGTCCCTGTTAGAGACTCAGTTTATTTATCTCCTTAACATCTTATCTTTTGTTTAGTTTTTATCATTCTTCCCTGGATACATAGGACAGGTTGCCAATTTGGACCTATAAAGGACCTTTAGGAGTAAAGTTTAGCCAGGCATGTACCATACAGCTGTAATCTTGGCATGTGTGAGATAGAGGTAAGATCAGAAGTTTAGGTCCAGGCTGGGCTGCATGAGGTTTTTTTTAATATATAAAAAAGGTCTTGTGTTAAAAATGGAAAAAGAAATCTGGAACACATCTGGATCTGGAACATTGATGACATCATGCCAAGTCCTGAACTAATTATCTCTGAGTTTTCATTAAGAACCAAACCATTTAAGCTGTTAATTTAGGTATGTCTCCTCCCAAGTTTCAAATACATGAAAGAATGTATTCTCAAGTGGCTGTGTACCAGAAGTTTGTTTCACTAGAGTCTGCTTGGGGCAACATTGATGTCAATGGTTAAATTCCACTTATTGTGGGGCTAGAGGGATGGCTCAGCAGTTAATAGCACTGACTTCAGTTCCAGATGATGCAGTTTCAATTTTCAGAACCCACGGCATCCAATAAACACTTCTGGTCTCTATGAACACTAGGCACACAAGTGGTGCACAGATATAAATCCCATACACACTAAAAATTTTTATGAATGTTTGCAATGTAGTTTACAGAGACTTATCAACTAATCGCACCTTAGTGTGATGTGGAGGTTTATTGTATAGCTAATTCCTATTCATAGAAACAGCCTCCTGAAGAGAGAGGCTCATGAAACTCCTCAGAAGATTCAAGACTCTGAAATTTATGACCTCTTCCAGTGGTTATATAAGCAGTACAAACTTGCTAGAAGAGACTCTTCAAACATGCAGCTGCCTTGAGTTTCCTAGGAATGCCAGAGATGCTTGTGAGTCCTCCCCCAAGGCTGCTATGTTGTTCCTCAGTTGCAGCTGTCAATCATCCATGTTCCTGTTAGTAATCCTAATAAATCTGTTGGCCCACCAAGCTGGGCTTGGATGGATTTTCTTGGGTCTATTACTGTCCTCTCTCCCAGAAAATAAAACAAAGTCTGTTGAATATACCAAAAGGCAAATTTTGAAGGGAGGCTAAGCAATCTTGAAGCACTGTGACAAACATTAGACAGGGCTCAGGCACAGTTGGGTCATCATCATTACACTAGAAAAAGGGATACAAGGAATGACAAGAAGTGTGGGGTCAGCGTTGTCATGGTTTCTTAACTACTTCTTTATTGGGAAAGTCCTTTTAAAGTGGGTCGATAGTAGGGTCTGAATGTTCACCGTCTATATCCCCTTCCCGTGCATTATATTAATCCACAAAGCATCTTTATGAAAATGTAGGTCATTAGGTTGATTGTTGTTAATGACTTCAAATGTATAGCTACATTTAAAAAAAAAAAAAGGATGTTACTCTGTAGCCTAGGCTAGTCTCAAACTCACTGTAATTCTGCCTCAATCTGCCTCTCAAATTGGGATTACAGTTATGTGCCACCATGGCTTGGCTATATTTTCTACTGTATATTATGATCAAAGGTATTCTGTTATAGCAGCCTAAATTAAAACGGTTGACCATTTTCAAAAAGGGTAGTCTGAGTAGTCTGACAACTATTTGGCAGTCTGGTAACAGTCATGCTCTCACTTAACAATGGGACTATATTTTAAGAAATGAGTCATCAGGTGACTACTGTGTTGCCAGGAGATTTTATCACTGTGCAAACAGTACAGAGTGTATTTTATACAAACCTAGATGGAATAGAGGAGGGTTTGCTCTGGCAAGTAACCGCCCTTCACACCAACTTTTCTAGCTTTTAAAAGTTAGCTGCCTTCACCCACAAGTGCAAGTTTACCACTTCCTTTCAAATTCTCTAATAATTATTCAATCATTTTAGACCACCCAGAGTGCTCAGGAACTCTGACAGGTCTAGTCTTTTTCAACGTTGCAGGCAAACCCTGCTTTGGCAGCAGTCATCATGATGCTGAGGGCACATTTGTGTCAAGTCAGGTTATTATAAGGGTCTCCAGATCTGATATTGACCTTTCTTGAAATATTCATATTGCCTTCAATGAAGCAGATGCTCCAACAACTTATGTCCCATATGTTCTCGTTCTTTGAGGGTCCAGCTATGGTGGAGCGGCTGACTTAATAAGCAGTAGTCATCAGTGATTCTCCCATTTCAAAGTCCTTCATTTTAATTTCATTAATGGGTCAATCACTTGATGACAACTGTCAACCTCAGCAGTAGATTGTGTATGCTTTGGGGCCATACCAAACACAACATGAGATTTAATCAAGCACAAGAGAAAAAGTGATACATTCAACAGATGTGGTATACAGAAGATGAGGCTGCTTGTGGCTTCTGTTATTGAAACACCATGTGATTGTACTCTTTTATGAAAAATAAATAGGAAAATGACTTGGAATATTCTGATCCGTCTTCATAAAAGGGCAAGTGTGCTCACAGTCCCTGGGAGCAGGCACTTAGCCTTGAATGTGGCACACTCTTCCTAAATTTTCTCCATGACTGAACTGTTTTAGCAGAATATTGGTGGAGAACAAAAGAGCGTAATCAAAGTCAGCAGTCAACTCTGAGTGGACCTGCTACAGTCAGGCCGTAAGCCAGCGAGTACTATTGCCGTCTTCTAGCTTAAGAACAGAAGCTCAATACTAGACTACGGGAAATAGGCACTTACACAAAATTGTTTTTAAAATAGGTTTTGACACTTGAAGGATTTCATTCCAAACTCTCAATTATATAATTACAAAAAAATCCATGTTTCATGAAAACATCCTAACCCTAACATAAAATTCAGATCACTTACTACAAAGTTAGACAAATGTATAAAGAAACAAAACAGAAAGCATATTTACAAATTTAGACTACATGAGACACTGTGAAGAATCTTTAACAACACTCTACGTACTTTTACAAACTACATTTAAAATGATGAATCTGTAAATAATGTGAGAGAGGTCATAGCGTGAAAACTTTAACCTTTAAAGTCCAAAGTTATGTTGAAGACTTTAAAAGTAAAGATGAAAGTTTGCAACTCAGGTCTGTGTGATAAAGACTAATCCAAGGATAGATTGTCTAAGAAAGGGCAAACTATTCCTATTCAAGTTAGCCATCTAGTTCCCCATGAGTATAAAATATTAACAACCATGAAGTGGATTAAGCTAATTACAAATTGTGTTAGTTTCTAACAACTAAAGGGGTCTTTGCACAGGCAGCCACACAGTCTCTCTAACCCTTGTGTGGGCATTTCTGCTACATAGAAAATCCTCATCCAAAACAATTTTCCTTTCACCTCTGTGTTTTGTTTTTAAGTAGAAAATATTTTTAAACAAAGGAACATCTGTCCTTTAGCTAGAGAACTGCTCTCCCACTGACTCCTGGAAGAGAAAACATACAATTCCCATTTCTCCCTCTACCTACAACCACAAAACAAAGCAAAGCCATCCAACTCTTAATGTAGTGTCATGTAGAGCCTAGGTCTGGAACATTTCATGCTAGTTTCCTGCTATATGCTGAGTACAATTATTTACATTATTGACAAATCTATTGAACAGAATAGCGCCATCCCAGAGCTTCTTCAGCAGCAGCTAAAAAAGTCGAGAACAGCGGCGTCTGCGAATGGGAACATCAAAGACCCTTCTCCGTCTCTCCTCCCCTTCACCCTCATCTGACTCATTCTCATCCTCATCTGATTCATCTGATTCATCCATGTCTGCCGAGTCATCATTTTCTTCCTCCTCCTCCTCCTCAGCTTCCTCCTCCATCTCTTCATATTCATCAGGACCCATTTCCTTAAAAGAGAAAACCTTCTGATGAGAAAAATGTCCATCAGTTCTTATAATAATTCTATGGCCTAGAACACAAGTAACTAGACATGCTAGGCCCAAGTTTTCACAGACCTACACAACACAATCTTGTGATGCAGGATGTATCATGTTAAGTAATGCTCAATACGGTTTTAATGGTAAACACATTTCACTAAGACAGTGGTTGTTCTTCACATAGTAGTTGGTAACTCATACACAGAGGTAGGCATACTAGTAACCCAGAATAAATTTTTAATGAACGTATGGCAATATGGTTTATTAATTCTTTATAAGTCTATCTGCTTATGGACACACAGATGTGAAAATATTAATCAGATATGATCTCTAATGGTAATTTTTATGCACAGTTCCTAAAAGGTTTTTTATTGTGTTCCAAAGACACATCATCTTAATTTAAACATCAGTAGCCTCTACATTTGAAAAAGAAATATTTTTATTTTTTCAGTTGCTTATAAGGACAACAGTCAGTTATCTTCTCTTGGTTCCTGTGGTTGGATATCTGAGAAGCACTCAATGGAATACTTCTGACTTCAAGTCTCTCACGATGCTACAGCTGAATGGTGACTGGACCCAAGCTTCACCTCAAGGGCTTCTTCACTCACATGTCTGGTACCTGGACTGGGATGATCCAAATCTCTGGAGCCTGGAGTGGGCACTTCCTTCCACCTTGAAGCTGGCTCTCTACATGCCTTCCATGGCTGCTTCATGGGAACTGGACTTCTCACACTAGGTCTCAGGACACCAGAGGCAGTTCCAGGAGCAGGAAAACTAAGATAAAGGCACACTGCCCTTTCAAACAGCCTCAGCCAAGTGTCACTTTGCTGATTCCCTAGAGAGGTGCATCCCTAAGACCACTCAACACTGTAAGAAAAGGGAGACATGGAGGCTCTAGGACAGGAGAGAGGAGCAGCATGTTGCAGTGTCAGACTATCTCTTAGAATGCTATTTTGCTTAAGCAGGCATCCCCAATCAATTTAACTTGGCTGCCAATCTTCTCTTACACACATCTGAAAACTCAATGAAGAGTCTGAACAACCAGGGCTCAGCTGGCCATCTGAGTACTGAGAAGTTTAGTACATGATGTCAGCAAAAATCCCCCCACCATGTCTTTTACTGCACTAATATCATTAGACTACTCTGGTCCCTCTTTTTTAAGACAGGCTCTCATGTACTGAGAGTGGCTACTCTGACCTCATTTATGACTGTTCTCCCCTTGTTCTCTGCACTCAAGCCTCCTTAGATTAAACACATTAAGCCCACAGTTGCCTAAGAACTTTCATACCAAGTACTTCTTGGCTAAATATTATTCCACAAATCCTCTTGGCTCCCTTCATTCCTTCTACATTTCTACTTAGATATTACCAAGGCCTCTCCGGACACATCTTTAGAACAGAGCCCAACAGGGCACTCCCTTTAGCCCCTGCTTTTTCTCTACCACATTTGTTACTTGACCCAAGAGCACATATTTGTTTGTTTCTTCCAATTAGGATATAAAATCCAAGGCAGGGGTTTTGATTATATTGTTTGCTACAGTACTCAGACACTTGTTGAGAGAGCAAATGAAAATGTAGGAGAAAAGAATTGTGTCATTTAGGATTTATTATAACACAATAAGAAAATATACACAAATGTGACTTTTATGTTATTTCATTATTTTTAACTTTAGATTTTTTTGTTTTTGAAGACTTCAAAATTTTGCAGGAGGTACAAAAGGAGGGATGGGGAAGGCTTTGGAAATCCTAAAACATGGTTATCAGGTATTATTATTATTATATTAATGAAGAAAACAAGAACTATTAAAGGAATCAACTGTGGTTAGAGAGAGAAACAGTCAGATGATAGTATACTATCCAAACAGAACATAAGAGAGGAACAGAGGAGAATGAACATAAAGAAGCATCTAGAATGTTCATAGTGCTCTCAATCAAGCACAATAAATGCCCTACCTGGGGACATCATTAAACTAAACAGAATATTTACAGTGGCAAGTATAAAGGAAAAGAAATTACGAAGCCTAGCAATTAATCAGACTGGTGGAGGACAAAAAAATGCAAAACACAATTCAACTCCCATATCAAGGAAGATAATAGCAATAAGAAAGGCTAATAAATACAACCCTATTATCTTTTTTATGTTGATTAAAATAAGTCACAATTCTCATTTTTTCTAATGACTCTCCATCTTTGAGAAAACATTTTCTGAAAAACAGGTCAACTACTTTTTCTTGTAGTTGAGTAGAAACTAAAGCTTTAAATAAATAAAATACAGTTGAGAGGGTTGAACATGTAAAGGGTTTATTTATTGTAATTTTAAAAGGAACTGATACTATTATCAATGTCCTGTTTTAATTTCTAATGTTGTAAATACTGACATGACTATGTAAACGGTTCTTAGGCATCAATGGTTTTATACATCTAAGGAGGTGATGAGACCCAAAGGCTTGAGAACCACTGTCTTTAAGTAGAACCCATACGTTACATCCACTGAAACAAAGATTAAAGACAAGCAACAAAAGGATCAAACTGACCCAGCTCGACTGCCTGCCCATGCAAACCTCAATGCTCTTAACTTAGGACAAGGAATGTTATTAGAGATGAATAAGAATCAAAGAACTACTTCCATAAACAGACAACAATCCTAAACACTGGCACGCAATTATATAACTTCAAAATGCATGAGGCGAATCTGACAAGAATAAAGTGAGCCATGGACAAAGCCATTGACTAAAGATTTCAACAATAATCTCTTCAATGGCTGACGTAACAAAAGTTTAAAGAAAGAGCAATAAATATACAGATGACTTGGCAAACACTGTCAATCAGCCAGCTTGGCTTGTCATTTATAGAATAATTTCACACATGGTAGAGTATACATTCTTTTCAAAGATACAAAGATCATTTACCAAGATATAGAAAGTCTTCACATAATTTGGGGTCATAAAACATTAGAAAATATTAGCAATACAAAGTAAGTTCTCTAACCACAATAATTTTAGAAATCAATAAGCAAAAGATAACTAAAATCTTCCAAACACTTGAAAATTAACATATTTCTATGCAGTCTTAAGTCAGTTACAAGGAGAATCAGAACTAAATATTAACCAAAATATAACATATCAAAATTTGTACAATACAGCTAAAACAGTGCTTAGAAACAGGAAAGGTCTACAATCGATAATCTACACTTCTATCTTGAAAAGCTACAAGAAAAGTGAATTTAGCCCACAGTAAGTAGAAGAGGACTAAAGACAAGTCCACTAAGCGCTGAAACAGAAAAAGAAAACTACAGAAAATTATCAAAACTAAATGCTGTTCCTTTTGAATGATCAATAGAAATGTTGTGGCTAAAAAAAGGTATAAATCACGAATATTAAGAATAAAAGAAGGTTATCTGACTACAGCTCTTATAGCTATTAAAAGGATATCAACGGAATATTGTGAATAACTTTATGCTAATAAATTCAACATTTAGATGAAATGAACGAATTTCATGAAAGGCACAAATTACCAAAACTGAAACAACAAGGAATAGAAAATATACGTATTAAAGAAAATAAGTCCATATTTTAAAATTTCCCCATAAAGCAAACTCCAGTTCTAGACAGCTTCACTGATGAATATCAACCATTTAAGGATAAGATGGTACCACGCTCATATAGGTTCTGGGCTAACCAAGAATGGAAGTCTGGTCTGGTGTAGGCCAAGAATGGAAGTCTGGTCTGGTGTAGGGATGGTGCACACATCTAGCACTTGGGAGGCTGAGGCAAGAAAACAGTGAGTTTGAGGCCAGTCTGGGCTACATAATGATACACTATCTCAAGCCCTCCTCTCATCCCCTTCACCCAAGAAAGAAAATGGAAGTCTATTCCAGAGAGCAGCAAGTTCTCCATGCTGGGAACAACGTTACTCTCAAAGGTGGACTAGTACAGGTCCTTTTCACAACACTGCATACAGTGTACAACGACTCAGCATTATTCTTCTCTTTCAAACTAGAGTTGAGAATGGGTCCTCATTCAGGAAGGTTAGTGGCTTGTCCACTTTTCTACAATTATCTCAAACCTACCCATTCTAGGGGAGGGCATTGTCTAAGCATTCAATGTCCACAATTCAGGTCCATTTTGAATATATTATTCTGAAATCTAACATAGTATTTCACATAGTGCTATCATTTTACAGCCCATACATTAGGGTCTATTGTTGTACCTATCACAAAGTCACCTTAAGAATGAGATTTGTAAAATATGCCTGGTTGACTTGAAAAACAATCACAGAAGACTGCTAAAAGTATATTCTTACCCAGTAAATCCTCTATGAAAAATCTCTATAGGATACTAGTTTATTTAACTAAATTGGAAGTATTATCAAAAATACTGTAGGAAATTGTTTTCCAACTCTTAATGACAAAAGTCAATTTTAAGTGGTCTGACTGGTTCTTCACATCCTCTAATACATTCAGGCCACACAGCTACTGTTGGGAACAGTGGAAAAGAAGTTTAATCTGCAGAATGAGTAATAGTAGGAGGGATATACACACTAGTGTAATAGTAGGAGTAAAATACACACACTGTTCACCTTCCTCATATATTCATACAACCCTAAGATACGTCCTCAAAATGTCTACCTGTTTTTGGAGGGGGACATCATTATAAACTACCTATCTACCTAAACAAAGATAGTCTTTAGAATAATTCTACAAAGTCATATATCTAGCACTAGAAAAAATTTTAACTTACCAGTCGGGCTACAGACACCCTGAAGGTTGGACATGCCATATGGAATCGGGGGATGGCAACATTAAAGACCTTGTCCTTAAAGTACAGAAAATGGAAGGTATAATACCCTTCCATATAGCCTGATGTTGTAGAAAATGTGGTACAGCTTGTGTATTCGTATATCCGACCTGGGCTAATAATTGGAAATTCACCTGCAGAGAAAACAGTAACAATAAATAAAATTCACTTCTTCCTTTTAGTGAATACATTCTCCAGACGCTTTGTAAGTAGTTAGAGAGTGAACTGCACAATTAGAAAACTCAAAACCCTAAGAGGATTACCACAGAGTGCTGCCGTGGAGCATCATGACGCTCCGTCCCTCTTGACAGTTACTTTTGAATTCGATTTCTGGGGGCTGGGACTTTCTGCACGTGGAGGGCAGAGGACAACATTTGGGAATTGTCTCCCATCACATGGGTCTCAGGGATGCCTTGTCTGCTGAGACCTCACCAGCCCTTGACATTTTTTTTATTCCCCAAATTTGCTACAAGGCAGCAGGTGGGGAATAGCTAGTAAACAAAATTTAAGAGGGATACTTTTTTTTTCCTCCAAAGTTGACATAATCTTTAAAACACAAATAATAAAAAAGTGTCACAGTTGAGACAGTAGCTCAAACAAAGGTAAAGGTAATATAATTCTATAGTAGCAAGAGACTAAAACAGAAGGTTGTGAGATGCATCCCGAGTGTGCAGTCTGGATAAACATCAGTTACAGGGGAGGGTCCTCACATCAGCAATCAAATGACAAAATATACACATTTTAAATAGCATTTCTTAGCACTAGATTCTCTCTCTTTTTTGAGATTTATTTTATATTTCAGCCAGAGATGGTGATGCACACCTTTAATTCCCTCACTCAGAAGATGCAGGTAGATCTCTGTGAGCTCAAGTCCAGCCTGGTCTACATAAAGATTTCTAGGCAAGCAAAGTTACAGTAAAACCCTGAGCCCGGCCGGGCAGTGGTGGTGCACGCCTTTAATCTCAGCACTTGGGAGGCAGAGGCAGGAGGATTTCTGAGTTCGAGGCCAGCCTGGTCTACTGAGTGAGTTCCAGGACAGCCAGGGCTGCACAGAGAAACCCTGTCTTGAAACCCTCCCCCAACCCCCCCCCAAAAACAAAACAAAACAAAACAAACCCCGAGCCCAAAAATAAATACATACATAAAAATAAGAAAAATTTATATTTTAACTCTGTGTTTGTGTGTGCATATGTATACATGAGTACAGGTGCTCACAGAGACTAGATATTGGATCCACTGGAGCTGGAGCTACATGTGGTTATGAGCCACCTAATATGGGTGCTAGAAACTTAATTTGTGTCTTCTGGAAGGGCAACATCAATAATTAAGGAAAATTCAATCTGTGCTATTAATTTCAATATCACTTCTAAAATTGATAAAGATTACCAACATAAAATTTATTTTCTTAGCCGGGCGGTGGTGGCACACGCCTTTAGTCCCAGCACTTGGGAGGCAGAGGCAGGCAGATTTCAGAGTTCGAGGCCAGCCTGGTCTACAGAATGAGTTCCAGGACAGCCAGGGCTACACAGAGAAACCCTGTCTCGAAAAACCAAAAAAAAAAAAAAAAATTATTTTCTTACTGTCTTGTGCCTCCTAACTTATAGAACATAATAATTACAATCAAAAAAAATTAAGAACACAAGAATAACAATCAGGGAACCATAGATGATCCACAGAAAGGGAAATCAATCCCTAAATAACCGAGTTTGCTATGGTTTTAGACAAGCTGACATTTCAGGGACTAATAAGTAAACTTATAAACAGTCTAAATTTTAGAAACAGTTGACCAAGAAATATAAGTCTTGGGTGACATACCAACTACGCCAGGTCCCTGGACTTCTTCCACATCCCCTTTAGCGTTTGTTATCCTCCAGTAGCGACTGTCCAACTGACAGGCCTTCTCAGGGAGAGCATCTCTTGACATTTCAATCCTGGAGAAAAGAGCAGGGCATAGATGTGGTATCTGTCTTCCTTTTTTGTTTCTTTGTTTAAGTACTTCAGCATTTGAGTTAATACTATGAAAGACTTCCAAGGAAAACTAATAAATCAAACCCAAAGTCCATGTTAGCGTAAGTTCTCAAAGACACAGCTTTCATTAGGCTAATTCTCTCCCTCTTCCCCCATGAAAACGCTTTCACTTAATTTATACATCCACTATTCGGTAAGAATGCAATAGAAGGGCTAATAAATAAATGCAAAAACAGTGGTAACAACCATCTTTGGCTGCTCAAATAAATAACCATTTGGCAGACGCTTTCTAGATACAAGGCCATAAAAAACTTCTGAGGAACTCACTCACTCACTCATTCATTCATTCATTCATTCATTCATTCATTTGTTCATTCATTCATTTATTCATTCATGCCAGGCAGTGGTGGTGCATGCCTTTAATCCCAGCACTTGAGAGGCAGAGGCAGGAGGATTTCTGAGTTCGAGGCCAGCCTGGTCTACAGAGTGAGTTCCAGGACAGCCAGGGCTACACAGAGAAACCCTGTCTCAAAAAACAAAAACAAAAAAACAAAAAACAACAACAACAAAAAAAACACATTTACTCACTCATATAAACCTATGCAATGCAATTCTTTTTTTCCATTAGCTTCTAAAAAGCTCAAAGCAAAATGTCACCAATTACTGAGATTATACTTCAACTCTATTTCTACAGACTGACATTTCCTCTTTCTCTTGGAATCTGTCTCTATTTTTATGCTAAGTATCCTGTAAAGGTAGGAAGGAATTTCTATTTTAAACAAGTCTTAATTTCAAGCAGAATCTAAATAAAAACAAATATCTACACTATGCTTGGAGCAATGGGTTATCTTTCTGCCTACGCACAAAATATTTCTAACTACAGTAATTAAAGCATTTGGTTTTTATATTTAATCAAATCAACATTTAATATTATGCACAATACATATGAAACACACCATAAATACTTCTTACATTTTAAAATTAAACATAGACAGACCACATGAAATTTTAAATGCACAGTTTTCTGTTTGGCAATAGAATAGCTTCTAGATTACATCACAGATCTAAAATGAAGCTTTGACAGTTACAACCTAGTAGCTGTAATTCCTGCAGTTCGTGCAGTATCTGAAATAATAATTTACACTCAGGACACATGTCAAAAAAACCCCAAAACCTATAACTTGTCAAACTCCTTGTGAATACTGTATTGTTGATAATTTATTAACTTTTCTGCAAACTTCAGCAAGAAATTATTTTTCAAAATGTGCCTTAGCAGGATGGTGAGGCAGCTCAGTGGATAAAGGTACTTTTTGCCAGACCTAACAACCCGAGTACCATCCCAGGATCCACATAATAGAGAGAACCTATTCCCACAGGACACTACCCACACAAGCACACACAATTAATTAAAAATGTAATTTAAAACATTTAGGTGTACTTAAGAGCTAGGGAGGGGCTGGAAAGATGGCTCAGAGGTTAAGAGAACTAGCTGTTCTTCCAGAGGTCCTGAGTTCAATCCCAGCAACCACATGTTGGTTCACAACCATCTATAATGAGATCTTGTGCCCTCTTCTGGCCTGCAGGCATACATGCAGGCAGAACACTATATACATAATAAGTAAATAACTTTTTAAGATAAATAAATAAATCTTTAAAAAAAAAAAAAAAAGAGGCAGTTCAGTGTGCACAAACCTAACGAGTGATATCTGGAGCCCCAGAACCTGCTTAAATATTGGGTGGGCATGGCTGCTTGCTTATAGATTCAATGCTCAAGAAGACAGGATCCCCAAAACAAGGTAGATAGTTAGTCTAGATATATTGGCAGCTCTAGATTAACTGCAAGATCTGCTTCAGAAAGTAAGGTGGATGGTGACAGGAGGACGGATGTCAAACTCAGGCCTCCACATACCCATGCACCCACCACACATATGCAATCACACACACTAAAAAATAAATATAATGTTTGTTTGTTTTGTTTTTCCAGACAGGGTTTCTCTGTATAGTTCGGCTGTCCTAGAACTTATTCTGTGGACCAGAGCAGCCCAGCCTCAAACTCATAGAGATTCGCTTCTCTCTGCCTCCACAATTCTGGGATTGAAGGAGCGTGTCACAACCACCTGGCTTCATTATTGTTATTATTATTGATACAATTTTTAAAACAAATAAAAATAACCTTAAATGTACTTCATGGCTGGGATTGTAGCTCAGTGATAAAAGTACTTGCCAAACATGGACAAGGCTCTTGGTTTGATTTGTAGGAGCATAAAACAAAATACAAACAAAACCCATAAAACTCATTTCACAGATCGTGTCCAAATGGAAAAGAGCAACCAGCCATAGGATACTGGCACTTTAGCTGAAAGATGAGTCTGATGATTCAGATATAAAATGGTCCACAAGCACTCATGTGTTGAAGATTTGTTTGGTTCTTCTTTCTCTGCTTCCTGGCCACCATAAAACTGAACAGCTTTGCTCTGTAGCACTAGTCCACACTTCTAGGATATCCTGCCTCATCATACTTAGGCCCAGAAACGAGAAAGCCAAGTGGCCATGGGCTGAAGGCTCTGAAATCCTGGTTTACCAAAGTTGATTCCTCAGGGTTTTGTCATGAAAACATACTGACGAGCACACAGTCCCACTTACAAGCCTCACCTGATTCTATATGTGAAAAAATAATGTGGCGGGTGCACAGAGCTGAGTTCTGGCAGAAATGATGTGGACACTGAGACTGTAATATCTCCAGTTGTTGCTACACACTCTGGGTCATGAATATATCTAGCAAAGAAGAAAGTTAAACATGTTTAATTAAATCAACCAGCTTCTATTCTTACACAGTTTAAAGATATAAAGTACAATGCCTTACCTATACTTTAAAACTTTAAGTCATACTTGATAGAACCCTATTGAACTTGAACTTTATAATAGTGGAAAACCTTGGTGCCTCTGGTTCAGTATAGACAGCAATCAAAGATCCATGGTCAGTGATTCAAACCATGGATCAGTAATCAATTTAGAAACCAAACAGGGCTTCTCTGGGTTTTCAGTGCTATAAAAATTTGGGAGACTTCTGAAAACTGACTATACTATTAAATGGTGACTCTGGACTATGACAATATGTAAGAATGTAAACATATTGTACCTCTTATGACATATACTTAACCTACTATTTCTGCCATGAATCCTACTATGAACTAGTATCACCTATAACCACCTCCAATACAATATCCCATTACAGATAATAAATGTTTGCCAGGAGTTAGTTATTTACTTGTTATTCAAACTTTATTGTTTTGCAAAGAGAAATTATGTAGCTATTATCAAGCTACTAAACCATATTTAGCTTTTCTCTTGTTTTTTTCAAGACGAAAGATTTATTGGTTAATTAAATGCTTGGATGTTCTGGCTTTGATATGAGAATGAAACAGAGAGATAAAGGACAGTGAAGTTCATTTCTTAACCTTCCTTCTCATCTCATGATAGATATTTGCAATAGATAGCCTTTTCTGACTTATAGTTATTTCAATCACAAAAGCCCCAAGTGAAATACCTGAAAATCTGGTCTCTGATGATGGGGAAGCCACCTGATACAACATTGTTGACATAGGATGTAAACCAGTCAGTAAAAGTAGCACCTATAAACCAAGAAAATGAGTACATGGAAAAAAATCAATAGAGGAAGCAAACAACTATAATTTTGCTATGTTTAAGATATGATACCAAAACTAGAAATAGCTGTAGGTATAATTCTGCTAGTATTCTATTGGACAAATTTCTTTTCCCAATTCTTATTTATGACTATGGTGTATAACCACTTATGTGCATCTGTGCGCACTTGTGTATACACATGCAGAGGCTGAAAGCCATCCCATCCCTGCTATGACCCTCCACCTATTCCCTTGAGACAGGGCCTTCCTTTCTATGTGGAGCTAAGCTGGCATCCAGCAAGCCTCAGCAAGCCTCCTGTCTCTGTCCCATAAAATGCTGAGATTACAGCCATGGACACAAGCCCATGGTGGGCAAAAGCCATACCGAGCTTTTACATGGGTACTGGGACTTGAACTCAGAACCTCATGCTTGAACATTAAGTACTCTTACCCAAATGAGCCGCCTCTCCAGCCCTTCTGTTCGCAATTCAATCTACATTATTTCCTTTGTGTTCCCTACACCACCATCCCCAGCCCCTGCCTAACTCTTGTTAGGGAATTCTACAGCTATTTCCACTTATGTTGTTTTTTGTTTGTTTTATGCGCAAATTAACTGGTTTTGGTACAGTGATAAAAATATTTGCCTATTAATTTCATACAGAACAAAGGAAATAGTTACAGTTAGGAGAAAAACATTAAGAAAGGTTATCAGGCTCCTACAATCAATGATCAGGATTCATCTTAGACACATCCTGATATACACTCAAAATATTGGCACCACCCAGGCTCAGTCTAGACATCTTCCAAAGACATGACACTGTAAAATTCCCAGCATCAGGTTAACAGCAAAGTGGTCAGATGCTCATTTCTACAGATTCGGCTGCACAGCAGCTCTCCATATCTCACTGATAACACAAAGCAGAAAACAATTATCTATTATTACATCAGTCCAGTCCATACTATCTGTCCCTGATATTCTAAAAGGATCCATGACAAGTATTTAGATGAATTATGCTAAAATTTCTTTTCTTTTTATTTATTTTATTTTTTTAGTTTTTTTGAGACAGGGTTTCTCTATGTAGTCCCGGCTATGTTGAAATTTCTAGGTAGTATAAAATAACTATTAAACCTCATCATTTTATTTGATAGTACAGTTAAACACCTAGCATATATATAGTACTTAGTTGATATTGTTCAATGAATTTCTTTGTAATCTGGTTTCAATTAACCCAGGTCTTTAGTAAGTATCAGATGCTCAATTTATACCACTAATTATTATGTTTTTTAATTTTCAGACCTTAGTATTTGTTGCAATGATGGTTTATTTTCTTTCTTTTCTTTTCCTTTCTTTCTTTTCTTTTCTTTCTTTCTTTCTTTCTTTCTTTCTTTCTTTCTTTCTTTCTTTTACCGGTTTTTTTTTCGAGACAGGGTTTCTCTGTATAGCCCTGGCTGTCCTGGAACTCACTCTGTAGACCAGGCTGGCCTCGAACTCAGAAATCTGCCTGCCTCTGCCTCCCAAGTGCTGGGATTAAAGGTGTGTTTCAAAGCAGAAAAATATGAAAATGAAAGAAAGAAATTCAGAGCCTAACAGCAATTTCCTTCTTGACCAGAAAGCCTTTAAGGAAACTGACCAGCCCTGCTGGAATAAAGCTGTGATGGTCTTCTCTGAAAATAAGCTATACCAAGATGCCCATGAACATGAACAAGCATGACGCTGTGATGGCACTTAACTTAGAAAAACAAGACACTGAGTTGAATGAGTTGAGTTCAAGTCCAAATGAGTTGAAAGCCAAAGCCTAAACGGAAAAGCTTGCACAACATGTGTAACATGAAACCTTCTCAGATAAGTGAAGTCTATCACAAACTCGGACCATGTCACAGTATGAAAAAAACAGATACTCATTTTCTGCTCAAGGTTCTAATTGGAAGATACAATTAAAAGAGATATTGCTCTACTTAGTGCAAGGGATTAAATAAAACTGGGTCCGTGCACATGCCAGGCACAGAGTCAACCACTGAGTTGTCCCTTAGCATTTTGTGTATTATGAGTATATAGGGAAATGCTTGTCAGAAATCCCTTTAAAAAGCAGAATCAATATGCAGGAAGTCTCTGCTAGTGAGCAGAGAGTCTCAACAGGATGAGACTGGATCAAGAGCAAAGGTGAGCTGTATTTCCATACAAACTGAAGAGTTCCCCCAAATGTTGGTCATGGCTTCCCCTTCAATCTCGTGTGTGACTCTGATTGGCTTCCCACAATGCGGACTGTGACCTGCAAGCTGAAATGAGCCTCTTCCCTCCCAAGCTGCTCTCTATCAGGGTAGCCTGTTGCCTGAACGGTATATAGGACCATATAAGCACAACAATTCTGCATCTCACTTCTCTAAAGAAAATTAAAAACTTAAGTCTGTACAGGATATGGATTTTTTTTCTAAACAAAATACAAAGAAAGCACAACGAGAGAACATAGACAAAGGACGTTATAAACTAGGAAATATTAAAAAATGCAAGCATAAAATGGCCAGCTGTTCAAGGAAGTAAAAGTTTTCTCAATTCATTTACTTTTCTAAACCAATAAGAAGGGAAAAGTGACTTTTCTGTATTTCTCTTACCTATGATAAACATGTCAATAGCAGCAGGATTCCGAGCCATTTGGTCCTATGTGAAAAAAAATATATAAATATATTTATTCTTGTTCCTTACTTGATCTCAGGGAACAAAGCAAAATAGATAAAAATAAATTGAGTATTCTAATCAATACTCAAATATTCTTGTTGTTATGAAAAACTGTCTTCTAAGTGAAGCAACCATAATCTTGAAGAGTTCAGCTGCAGTGTCCCCAACCCCGTCCCCACACACAGAAGTTCATCCCCGCTTTTCTGGTTGATAGTTTACATCCTGTCTCCATAGAGGATCCTAGAAGGACACAAGATTCTTACCTGAGTATCCAGCTGCTCCCTACCACCTGGCATATATAGGGAAGACTAGGGCTGGGTCTCCATCTATACAGCTATGAGGAAGTCCTCATACCTGCTGGGTAAAGCTTTTGAGATGCAGCCAATTGGTAGATGGGTACCCACATGTCTATAAGTAGTCCCTCACCTATGAAATATAGTCACTGATCCCCAAAGTGAACTTGGGTGGACTCATGCCTCGGTTTGCCATTGGACTCTTTTTTGAGACAGAGTTTCTCTGTGTAGCCCTAGCTGTCCTGGAACTCACTCTGTAGACCAGGCTAGCCTCGAACTCTCGAACTCAGAAATCCACCTGCCTCTGCCTCCCAAGTGCTGGGATTAAAGGCGTGCGCCACCACCACCCGGCACCATTGGACTCTTAAGAAGACAGGTAGATAGTATTTACGGTTTTTCTTGAGGAGAAATTTTATCAACACTTCTCAGTTTCTACTGTTGTAATTTCTATGCTCAGGCTTATTCTATAAAATGTCTGAAGACACCTCTCAATAAAATGAAAACATATAGTCTATTTCTAATAAGACAAGTTATAAAACTATTTTTTGAGAACATAATTAGCAGTAGAAGTGATAAGATAAATAGCTTGTTATCCTACAAGAAAGGGCTTTGAGTTCAGAGTCAAGAGACCTGAACAATTTTAGGATGTTCAAAAAATAATTTCACATATTATATATAGTCAAGGACTTTGAAAAGAAAAAAAAGAAAGGACTTCGATACTAAGTTCCTCAATTTTCCTATCCTTAAAATGCCTTAGCATGAATAACAACTTTCCATCTATATATGTGGTAGTCTGTACTGTTTGTCCAGTGGCAAACCTATTAGTTCTCTAGCTAGTAAATTATATGATGCTCCAGCCTATTTTATATCCCTGAAAGTATCCAATGCACACATTGATATTATTATCAGAATACATATTAAAGGCATAAGCAAACATACTTCCTACTTACTGGACACTGGTAGAACACTTCGTTTTTATTCCGGCCCTCAGCAGCTTCCACAGCGATGTACTGACTCAAACCGGTATGTATGCAAAAGGTTAAAGGGAGACAGTATTTCAGGCCCTGTCTCTGCTGAAATCCTCCGGCAGCAGTATCAACATCTAATAAATCTTCAGAGCGGTAGTGATTTGACAATGCCATACTTCCCAGCAGCCTGAGAATACAGACTCAAAACCATCAAAAGCAGAACAACAAAACAGTGCCACAGAGCTACGTTTCATCTTTTTTGGACAATTTCATACTGACAAATGTATTTTTCATTTTGTTTAAAACAATCAATCAAACAAACAAACACACCAGGGTCTTGCTATGGAGTCCTAGCCGGCTTGGTACTTGCTATATAGTTGATGTTGGCCTCAAATTTGAGGTAATCCTCCTGCCTCAGCCTCCAGAGAACTGAGATTATCGGCATTAGAATTGTGTGTCACCATGCCCAGCCACACACTGGTAGCTTTCTAAGAACTGGTTAACATACAAATTCTAAACTAAGGATATCAAAATCACTAACATTTCTATATATCAAATTCACTCTTTTAGTCAGAAAGATTCTGATTTAGATTTTAAAATTAAATGTCTAAAAGTATAAACACCAGTCTTCTTAGAAGATATATAACTTTACTGTTTTTAAGGAACTTAGTGTAGTGGTTCACACTTGTAATCCCACACTTAGAAAGACTAAGGCTGCCAGGCAGTGGTGGCGCACACCTTTAATCCCAGCACTTGGGAGGCAGAGGAAGGCGATTTCTGAGTTCGAGGCCAGCCTGGTCTACAGAGTGAGTTCCAGGACAGCCAGGACTACACGGAGAAACCCTGTCTCGAAAAACCAAAAAAAAAGAAAAAAAAATAAGGCTAAAAGAACACAAATAGTGCTATATAGTGGATTCTTGGCCAGCATGGGCTAGACTAACCCTGTTTTAACACACACACACACACACACACACACACACACACACACACACAGAGCAAATGGCAAATACCTAAAATCCCAGCTGTTCAAAAGACTGAGAAAGGATAATGAGGTCAAGACCAACATAGACTGCACAGTAAGACCTTGCCTTCAAAATTTAAAAAAGTCTATTTTATTATATACTGAACTGCCAGTACTTCTGTGATTTGCTATTTATGTATACTCATAAATGTATACATATATTAACAGCTAATTTAATGGAAAAAGGAATAACTTTTCTGACATTTTATCTTGAATCAACTTTCAGCTTATCTCATGAAACCAGAAATACTGGTCACTGGTAAAGAGTCCTCTCCAGGTCTTGGGGTGTATGGATAGGTAGATAGATAAGTAACTTTTTATTTTAAGTTGTGTGTCTGTATGTGTGTGACAGATGACAGAGAGATGAGAGAGAAAGAGAGATAGAGAGAGCACCCCAGAACAGGTGCTAGAGGCAGGCATTGGGAGTCCCTGAGGTTGGAACTTCTGGCCATTGTAAGCCATCATGGGTTTTGGGACCTCAGGACCTCTGCAAGAGCAGCATTCACTCTTAGCCACTGAGCCATCTCTCCAGCCCCCTTAACTTGCCTATTTATGAACCATCACTGATACTTTATATTTGGAGTACTACACTTTGTATTATCAGTAGGAACTCATTGGAGAATCCCAAGACACACTTAACCCAGATAATTCTTCACTGTAGTGTTATTACTCTTGTGTTGCTGGCCCTTTAAAGGATCCTCAGTTGCTAGTTAACTGGCCCTTTAAGAATTTTTAGCTATTGGAACTGCTTGATCCTATGACCTTCAGTGTTAGTTGCATCTTGGATTTCTGGAAACAGGATAGAATATAAAAAAAAAAAACTGAGCTGAGGCTGAGAGAGGGGGGTTGGTAGAGTGAGAGAAGGCAGTTGGTACAGAAAATATTGTTAGGAGACAGTTGAGCCAGAAGAAGCTGAGCAGACAGGCTAGAACAGTTGTTACAGTTTGGAGCTGCTAAGGTTGAGAAAGCTGGGAGAAGAGAATGTTTACACAGACTGCTGGGGAACCGTTGGGAGAAACAGTCTAAAGGGGCTGGGCTGGGCTGGGCTGGAAACTGGGAGCAATGGTTGGGAAAGAAATTAGATTCATGGATCTCTCCCTATCTCTCCATCTCCTCTGTCCTTTATCCTTCTTTCTCTCCTATCCATAGTGGGGAGAAACCAGGGGGATAAAGGGTGGGAAAAAGAGGAACTCACAAAGTAGCAAAGGCCAGCTATACTGCACAGACAGAGCCACAGCAGGTTCCATCAAGAACAACGAAGCATTCTTTTTTTTTCTTGGTGTTTTATAAAAACAGTATCTTTGAAATAGTTTAATTCCATAAAAGTACAAAAGGAATAGACACATTCAAAGTTTATAGCTTTAAAATTGTGAATAAATTTGACGGCTACTATATGGTCTTCTTTTACCAAAAAAAAACAAAAAAAACAAAGAACATCCCAAAACAAAAAGACTACAATGAATACAACTTACAAAGTAATTTTAAAAAGGTCATTCAGGGTGGGGCGGAGGGAGCCAGGGGAGGTGGGTAGAGCCCGAGGCCCCCCAGTAGCCGACCCTGGCGCCGGGCTGTCTCCCTAGGGGGAGATAATCGAGGGCTGCCGCCTGCCCGTGCTGCGGCGCAGGCGCAACCAGGACAACGAAGATGAGTGGCCCCTGGCTGAGATCCTGAGCGTGAAGGACATCAGTGGCCGGAAGCTTTTCTATGTCCATTACATTGATTTCAACAAACGTCTGGATGAATGGGTGACTCACGAGTGGCTGGACTTAAAGAAGATCCAATTTCCCAAGAAAGAGGCCAAAACACCCACCAAGAACGGACTTCCTGGGTCCCGCCCCGGCTCTCCCGAAAGAGAGGTGAAACGGAAGGTGGAGGTGGTTTCACCAGCAACTCCAGTGCCCAGCGAGACAGCCCCAGCCTCAGTGTTCCCCCAGAATGGATCAGCCCGTAGGGCAGTGGCAGCACAGCCAGGACAGAAGCGGAAATCTAATTGCTTGGGCACTGATGAGGATTCCCAGGACAGCTCAGGTGGAATACCATCAGCACCACGCATGACTGGCAGTTTGGTGTCTGACCGGAGCCACGACGACATTGTCACCCGGATGAAGAACATTGAGTGTATTAAGCTTGGCCGGCACCGCATCAAGCCGTGGTACTTCTCCCCGTACCCACAAGAGCTTACCACGCTACCTGTCCTCTACCTGTGCGAATTTTGCTCAAATATGGCCGCAGCCTCAAGTGTCTGCAACGCCACTTTACCAAATGTGATCTTCGGCACCCTCCAGGCAATGAAATTTACCGCAAGGGCACCATCTCCTTTTTTGAGATTGATGGACGGAAAAACAAGAGTTACTCACAAAACCTGTGTCTTCTGGCCAAGTGCTTCCTGGACCACAAGACACTGTACTACGACACAGACCCCTTCCTCTTCTACGTGATGACGGAGTACGACTGCAAAGGCTTCCACATCGTGGGCTACTTCTCCAAGGAAAAGGAGTCCACAGAAGATTACAATGTGGCCTGCATCTTGACTCTGCCTCCCTATCAGCACCGGGGCTATGGCAAGCTGCTCATTGAGTTCAGTGAGTATGTACTGCCTGGCCTGGAGGCTGGGGGCCTGGCAGACCATGCCTATGTGGGTGTGCTTTACATGCAGACAAATCAGTCACCAGGAGAGCCACCAGAAATAAAGGGATACTCTGCCAAGGTCCTTTCCTCAAAAAAAAAAAAAAGTCATTCAGTTATAGGCTGTTCTTGATTATGACAAAACTCTACTCTGCTTAGTTTAGGATATACAACTCTGAACAAATCATGCTTTTTACACATATAGTAGACAGAACTTGCATCAAGTTCCTAAAACATTTTACCTAGCTTGTAACAGAGTAAACACATCACATCAAGCAGTTCAGTCAAATGTCCTCACAAATATGCACACACACACACACACACACACACACACACACACATCCCTCCTGTGTCCCACAGCTTTCTTCCCAACCAGATCAGATCTTACCTTAATCATAAAAATGTGCTGGCAGGAATAATGCTTTTATAAGACACATTTATTTTGATAAACTTTAACTTAACCTATAGACATTATATTATGGACTGCTGTAAGGAAAAGGAAGGAATTACCCCCTCTCTATACATATATAAACATACATTTCTTATTCATGTTTAGTAAAGTAAGCTAAGAAAAACTATAATTAAAATGTAATTTCATTCTAAAAAGTAATACCCATTTCTGAAAATTACTAAAATGTCAAGCACCTTACCCTGGAACCACTAACTTCTGCCCATTGTGGATCCGGTAGGAACAGCGATAATCATCGGGGAGCTTGCAGCCGATCTGAGCTTCTACAGCATCCAGGTCTTCCTCACGTGCGCCCTCTGCAAACCCACGCCAAAGACAGAGCAATAGAGTAGGTCATCCATCAACTCATGAGACCATCTTATGGCAAATGAATTCTGTTTAAAATATACTGTCAAAATACCGGACAATGAATTGGAAATTAATTTTAAACAGTAAACAAAGTGATTAGTTTCCGCTCAACATAGAAAACACTGGCACAAAGAATTGGAAAGGGGCACCAATGAAATGAACAATTAATTTATTAAACAAAAACTTCCTGACTCACTTTTCCAAACTTAATATAGTCATACTTTGTTTAATAACAACTCTGAAAATTCTCTCAGCTGTCATCATTCTAGAGTTTCAATGTGGTCTTCTATGGGAAATGGAGGACAGTAGTGAGAAGTCACTAGGTTGAATTCTCAATTGCACATTTGAAAACATGGCCTGCATTCTAGCTGTCACAAACAGAAAAACCTACAAATACCAAGAGAAGTGATGCTCTTCCAAACAACTGCCCCTCATCGTTGGGCCAAACCTCTCACTACTGAATGATTATGGGAAAAAAAAAAAAACTACTGAAGATATAAAGAAAAAAATTTAAAACAATCAACCACCACCACTACCACCACCACCAAAACACCCCACAAACTAGCCAGATGTGGTAGCACATTGCTTGTAGCCCTAGGAGTAAACTCAAAAAAGGAAAAAACAGAAACAAAACAATCAAACAAAAACACAAGAGCCAATTTAGGCATTTGGAATCACCTTGTTTTTAAGTAACTGCCAATTCTAAAACAAGAATAGGTAATATATAGGGCTGATGAATTTAAAAAAAAAAAAGGATTCAGACTCCACAAAGAGAAAAGCACTTGTTCAAATAACAAACAAACATGGGTTTGGCCAGGTTACTGAAAGCCTTTGGGAAAGTGAACTGGAAATAGCCAGTCCTCACAGACTAGAAGCCCAGGCTTTCCAATTACATCAACCCATTGACGACTTGCAGCAAAAGCAGCAGGTTACGCTGAGACCTAAACAGTGCTTTGCAATCACTCAAAAGATCTAAGCCTCAATAAACACAAGAACTAAGGAGCAGACAGAAAGCCAGGTGTAGTAACGAACACCTGTGATCCTAGCCACACGTCTCCAAGGTAAGACATACGCTAAATTAAAGTCACAAAAACTTAACACTAGGAGCTCTGATGGCTCAGTGATGGGCTACTGTGCACACACACCTGAGTGGGGGCCCAAATACCCTTCCATAAAATGGGAGGGACATGATAGGAACTCAGGCTTTTCACTGTCCAGAAAGTGGTAACATACTAAATTCTATTAGACCTGATAAGTCAAAGATGCATATTTTAATCTACAATGTGAACACTAAAGGGAAATACAAAGGGAAAGCAAAGGAATTAAACATAATTAAAAATGCAAAAATAAAGAGCAAACATATTTAAATGGCATGGTTAAGTTCAAATATGTTAGGAAATAAGTATCAATAAGCCAAATATAATGAAAGACAGAGCAGGTAAGGAATAAGAGCTGCAGGATGCAGTGCAGAGGGAGAGCTGAGGATGTGTAAGGCTTAGTCTCGGTTTTAGCACCAAAGAACTACAAAAAATTCCACTCAAGATATTCATCTTAATGTAGGCACAGAGAGAAAAGTTAGGACGGCTCTACTCAGATCACCTAAGAGTTTAAATCATAGAGCTTTATTAAAACTAATGGAGAACTGTCATAAAGACAACAGTGAAAGGTTAAAATTTTATGTACCTAGCACAGCACACACACATTTTTTTTTCTTCATAAAATTACACTGAAAAGGGACAGCAGGCTCATCAGTGAAGCACCACTTACAGTCCCAAGTATACATATTTTTAATGTCAGAGCTAAGATGGCAAAAGAATGGATGTACAAGTAGTGCATTATCTTCCACTGCTATATGCAGCTTGAAATGATCCTGACTTGTTTACCTACTTTGCAAGTAAATGTGCGGCTAGGACAGCCCAGGCCAGGCTCCTGCTGAAGCACCTCTCCCACACAGGTGCACACCTGGCCCCTCTACTCTAGGCTTAGCAGAGAGGGAGTGGAGTACACTTAGCCCAGCCCCCAGGAAACCAAGCCAGGAACTCACTTGTTGTTTGTTTCTAGAGGTTGGAAGTTCGAGTACAACTGGACCCTCTGTTTAGATCACAATGTTGGAATCATGGTATCCACTAGGCTGCTAGCTCATCTTACCTATCTGTTGCTTCAGAGCCTCTTCCAAGCTCACCGAGTATTTGCAAACTTCAGCATCCTGCAGTTTTTTCAATGAGGCCCTCAGTGCCTAGAAGCCCCTGACATTTCCTATTCTGTAGCCTTCTCCTCAACACATCGGCTTGTTTGCTTACTCAGAGTCAGTAGAAAACACATGCGATGAATCTCTCTGCCTTCTGAAAGGCTCAGGGCCTTTTAAGAATTTACTTGGTTAAGTTAGGTCCATTTAAGAAACTTTTCCTTTTAATTAACAAGTTCAAGTTCAATTCATTTGGGAACTTAACTATGATATTTATTTTAAGTAATTAGAATACATTAAATAATAGAAATCAAAATTATTTCTTATATTGCTACCAATACTCAAGAACTAATTGTATGTGAATGTATACCAAAGGCTGAAAATCTTGGTGAGCTACTTTAGAACACTGCCCAGTAGGAAATTTCACCGAATCTCTCAGTAACTAAGAGACAAAAAGAGGCCAGAGAGAAGGCTCAGTGGTCACTAGCATCGGCTCCTCTTGCAGAGGACCCGGGTTCAATTTCTAGAGTCTACATGGTGGGTGGCTCATATCCATCTGTAACTTCTTTTCCAAGGAATCTGGTGCCCGTTTATGGCCTCCAAGGACAACAGGTACAACATATGTTGCACAGATGTACATGTAGATAAAATGTCCACACACATAAAAATATACTTTTTAGATTTTTTTTAAGATTGATTTTATTTATACGAGTATACTGTCACTGTTTTCAGACACACCAGAAGAAGGCATCTAATCCCACTGGAGATAGTTGTAAGCTACCATGTGGGTGCTGGGAATTGAACTCAGGACCTCTGGAAGAGCAGTCCATCCTCTTAACAGCTGAGCCATCCATCTCTCCAGCCCTCAAATCTTTTTAAAAAATAAACAGATATTGGGAAGCAAGCAGTGGTGGTGGCAGCAGCATAAACTTTTAATCCCAGAACTTGGGCCATAGAGGCAGGTGGATCTTTGTAAGTTCTAGGCCAGCCTGGTCTACAGAGCTAGTTCTAGGATAGCCACAGCTTTATAGAGAAACCCTGTATCAAAAACCAAACCAAACAAGCAAGCAAGCAAACAAACAAACAAAATAAAACAACAAAAATCAGGGACAAGTGAGGTGGCCCAGAGGATAAAGGTGCTCACTACCAAGCCGGGGGCCAGGAGTCATCTCTGGGACCCACAGGTGGAAGGAGAGAACTGACTCCTGAAAGCTGGCCTCCAACAAGTGTCACAGAATATGTGTTACATACACTAAATAAAATGTAATCTTAAAAAATTAAGATCTGAAGAGCCAGCTCAGGTGGTAAAGGGCTTCTGCATAACCACGAGAACCTAAGAGTCCCTCGTACCCAGGTAAAAAGTGAGATGCACTGATAACATCTATAATCTAACAAGGGAGGCAGACACAGGGAAATCCTTGAGGTTTGCCGGACAGCCAGTCTACCCCAATTTGTGGGCTTCAGGTTCACTGTAACACCCAATCTCCAAAAATATTTGAACATTTGGGTTATTTCCAGGTCTGTCTGAGAGAAATAACGTAACTTTTAAGGAAAAAAAAAATTATCGTCACGTGTCTAAGTGTCTTGCCTGCATATATGTGCAGTGCCTGGAGAGGCCAGAAGAGATGGAAAGCAATTAAGGAAGACACCCACCATTGCCTCCGGCTTCTATATGTATGCACACATACACACATGCAATGTATATAATACACACACAAAATTAAAAAAAAAAACATGTAAGATAAACTAATATGATTAGAGGGAAATTTAAATTTATAGCCCTAAATATATTAGGGAGTCTAATAAAAAAAGATAGGAAAAAAAATCTATGCCCTAAGTCAGCAGAGGGTGGGGATCATAGTAAATTAAAAATCAAAAAATTAATAAAATAAAAAACAAACATACAGTAAACAAGACTGACCAAAAAGCCAGTTCTCTGCTGAAAAGATCTGATTGGACCCCACCCCACAAGAGTGGAGGGAACAAATAACTAACTCAGAAATTGAAAAGGTTGTACCACTACACATTTCCTAAGCATGAAAAGATGTGAAAACATTTGAAAACACAGATGTAGTAGGCAATTTCCTGAACAAACAATTTATCAAAACAGAAAGCCTCAAGCCTTAAATAGACATTGAATCCTTAATTTAAACTTTTCCCACAACAAACTCCAGGCTGAGCGTCTTGCTGACACATTTACCAATCATCCAAGCAAGAGTAAGAGGAAGCTTAACAAGCACTCTTCCAGGGGACAGCAGAGAGGGCTTCCTCACATACTTTACAGTCCTGTCAGCATTATTTTGATATAAAATTCTAATAAGAATATTACAAGAAAGGAAAATTAGAGGCCAAACTCTTTCATGGACATCAATGTAAAACTCCTAGTGAGGGGCTGGGAACATGGCTCCGCCATTAAGAGTGGTTGCTACTCTTGTAGAGGGCCTGGGTTCAGTACCCAGGCTAATATCTATCCCTAACTTCAGGTCTGGAGGATCAAATGCCCTCTTCTGGCCTCTGCAGACTCTGTACACATGCAGATATACATGCAAGTAAGACACTACTTACACCTAAAAATAAATCTTTTTGCTGGGCAGTGGTGGTGCACGCCTTTAGTCCCAGCACTTGGGAGGCAGAGGCAGGCGGATTTCTGAGTTCAAGGCCAACTTGGTCTACAGAGTGAGTTCCAGGACAGCCAGGACTACACAGAGAAACCCTGTCTCAAAAAACCAAAAAAAATCTTTTCTTAAAAAGTTGTTATTTCTAACAGTCAGTACTGGAAACCCACATATTCATCAGCAGTAGGGTGAACATAAACTCAATCTACTCACATACAGTATCTGTAACAAAAACTACTGAGCTTCACAATCAAAATAGAATTAACGTATCCAATACTTAACCACTTAATTTATATAAAGTCAAGAGAAAACTGCTGAATAGAAGAGCTGTTGGGACAATGTTGTCTCTGTGAAAGAGGGAGGGGCACGAGGGGCCTCTGGGCACAGAAAGGGCTCCACTACTACATCTCACTGAGTTCTACGTTGTGGTCTGTGAATATATCTACATAATTTTAACATCACTAATGATGGCAAACTTCTCAACTAAAAAGAATCTTCCTAAAAACCTACCACTCCAATCATGAAGGAAGGAAATATCAGACAAAACCAATCTGAGATATTTTCTACAAAATACCCCATGAGTACTTCTCAAAAGTGTCCAAGTCATAAAAGACAAGGAAAGACTCAGAAAGTGTCACTGCTGGTTAAAAAGAAATGACAGCTATATGTAATGTGATACTTTAAGCTGGATCCTAGAAGAACACTAAGGACATTAATGCAAAGTCTGATGAAATCTGAATCAAATGTGAAAGTAACAAAATATTAATGAATTTTTAGTTTTGATAAATGTCCTCTAGTGTGATGTAGTAGGGAAACTGAGAAGTATACAGAACTCTCTGTAAATCTAAAGTTACTTTAAATTAATATATATATTAATTATATAACATATATTTTTATAAATAATATTCATTATATTATATATTATGAAATATACAATAATTATGTAAGATAATGATTCTTGCTCTGCCAAGAATGAAGAGTTGAATTCAGATCCCTAGCAACCTTTAATGTCAGGCACTCTGCTGAGTAATCGCAATCCCAGAATGTGGAGACAGAGACATCCATACCCTAGAGGTGACTGACCAGTCTGGCTAATTAAATCAATGAGCTCCAGGTGTAGTGATAGACCCTGTCTCCAGAAATGGGGCGGCAGGTTGTGCAGAGGTGGCACACGCCTTTCATCTCAGCACTCAGGAAGCAGAGGCAGGTGGACCTTTTTGCGTTCGAGGCCAGCCTATCTACAGAGCAAGTTGCAGGAAAGCCAGAGCTTTACACAGAGGAACCTGTATCAGAAAATAAAGCAAAGCAAAACAAAAGGGTAGGAAAAAACTTAGGAAGATGTGAGGCATGCCAACCTCTGGTCTTTACATGCACACAAGTGGGCACACACAGGAACATGTACATATATGTACACTATATACACATATAAAAGAAAGCATAAAAAATAAGAGTGTGACAGAAAAGAAACCAAGCTGAACACAAGCCAGAAGTAGTGTGTTAGATAAGGAGAGAAGCTAACATTTGTATGTTATGTGCTACATGGGAGACTATTTAATATGTAAGATTAAGAAGCGAACACACCCATAGTTAACAGAAAGAGAGATATAAGGGAACATTTATTTACATTTCAGTAAAATTAAGATTGGAAGAGACACTCTACTATAGTAAGCCAAACTGCGTCTTACCTTGGCCCCGCTACTTATTGTGGATTGATCTCTCTCTCTCTCTCTCTCTCTCTCTCTCTCTCTCTCTCTCTCTCTCTGTCTCTCTCTGTCTCTGTGTGTGTCTCTCTCTCTCTGTGTCTCTCTCTGTCTCTGTGTGTCTTGTCTCTCTCTGTCTCTCTCTGTCTCTGTGTGTGTGTCTTGTCTCTCTCTCTCTGTCTCTCTCTCTCTCTGTGTGTGTGCATGTAAGATATTACATCTGTTTAACCTTGTTCTCCAAACAATGAGCTAATGCCACCCACCAGAGAGAACTGTAGAAGGACAGAAATGCCATGTGTGTGTTTATTTATATAGTGACTTACTGCTTTCAATGAATACTCACCTATTCTCTTCTTCCTTCACCTACTCAGAAAGGAAGCTGTGACAATTTATCAGAAGCCAAGACTGGAGTTTGTCTCTGCTGCTTACTAGTTATTGGTCCTCAAACAGGCCACCTAAACTCCCTTTGTATCTTGTCTTTGATGTGAAGTGAAGGTACTAGTAATTAATCAGGGTTTGGTAAATAATAGATGAGAGGCTAAATCCTTTTTATTGGAACACAGCCACCCCATTTCTTTCTGTATTGTCTAAGGCTGTTTCCAGAAAAGACAGCCTAACGGTAGGCTTAAACACAGGTCTCTGTCACAGAAACCATGGGTCAGTCCTACCAACTTTAAAATATTTACTGTTTGTTCCTTTAAAGAACTCCCACCTCTGCCAGGCGGTGGTGGCGCATGCCTTTAATCCCAGCACTTGGGAGGCAGAGGCAGGCAGATTTCTGAGTTCGAGGCCAGCCTGGTCTACAGAGTGAGTTCCAGGACAGCCGGGGCTATACAGAGAAACCCTGTCTCGAAAAACCAAAAAAAACCCCTCCCACCTCAATTCTAAGCCAACATACAAGGAAAATATGATTTGAAAATACATAATTAACAACCTCAAGATGCTCCATAACCATTACCCCAAGTCTACCGCCTATTTCCTGCTAATTTTCCATTTCAACCTGACACCTATATAACCTTAAAGTTGAATGAGGACGGTGGCTCCTGAGGTCAGCAGCCACGTTCCTAACTTGGGAATTCATACACCTGAAATTCCTAGTATCCCCAGCAATGTAAATATTCCTGGTTAACCTTAATCCAAAATTCCTGACAAGCCTGAGAACTGGCACCTCAGAGAGTAGAGCAGAAGTGGCCAAGGAATCTGACAGCTAGATACAGAACAGACACAGGAGCTAGGAATACCAAAAGACAAAAGAAAAAGGAGCTATAAGTCTATCCCAAAGAACAACCATACTGCACTCTCACACTCCAAATGCCCTAATATGGAGTGACAATTAAAAGCAACCTTAGGTACTCTAAACAAAATGGGCTCAGTCCTCTCCCTGCAACCACAACTGAAGTAAAGACTACACTTCCAAAGTGAGGCCCCTAGTCAATTCCTGACATTACTTTTCACTTTTTTATGGTAAACTTAGTCTTTTATGCCCTGTGTTAGTACTATCCCTACAAAAAGACAATAATTATCTTCCTTACAGAATTTTTGGAAAGTAAATGAGGTGATATAAAATACTTAGTTTCGTGTCTACCTTTGTATTTAGTTCCAGTTATTATAAACTATTACCTGTCTTACTTACCAACACTACAGACTTATTTTCAGATGACATCTGTCCTCCTGAAGCAGCTGCCCCCAAGCTACGTGAATGTTATTACTCATTCTTCTCAGAGGATAAGCTGTTGTGATATTAGTGGGGGACTCCCAGGTCCCATCTATTCTATCTACTAAAGCCATTTATTCTGCCTTCTAATAAACGCATCGTGGTTTGTCTGAAAGTGACATTTTCATGAGACATTACAGTGGGAATCTGAAGAGAAAGGGAACACTATTTCAGAAAGACGGGAACAGATTCCAAATCTAGCTTCACAAAACCAGAGCATGTGCAAGGCTCCACCTAGTGAGTAAGTCTGGAAAACTTCAAGTGGAAAGCAGATGAGCAGTAATAATGGATCTTTATAGGTTTTAACAAATCACACAGAAATACCTTGTTAAGATTTCTAGCCATAATTAGACGATATACTAGAGCATGGATCCTGGGGTCAGATCAACCTCGGTTCAAACCTTAGTTTCACTACTTTGGAAATACCAAACAAAAAGGATTTCTCACTCTGTTATTCTTACATGCTTAAAGACCCAGGGGCTTTTCTAACATTTGATAGACACCATACAAGAAAAGGTGTTGATACAAGTTTTAAAAAATAGTCTTGGACTGGAGAAACAGCTCAGTGGACAAAGCACTTGTCACATAAGCATGAGGACTGGAGTCTGGATCCCTAGAAGCCACATAAAAGCTGAGCGTCTGAAGCAGCCGACCTGGAATCCAGCGTTTGCAAGGTAGAGACAGGAATACCAGAGAAACTGGCTAGCTGGACTAGCTCAACCAGGAAGCTCAGGAAGAAACTCAACCTCAGTAAATAAAGGGAAGGACAATCCAGAAAGACATGTGATGTCTCTGACTTCCACACATGGCTGTGAGCACATCCATGTGAACGTGTATACACACATGCATACCACAAAAATACACACATAAAAATACTAACAATATTCATTTTTAGGACTGGGGGTATAGTTGCACTGTTGAATACTTGCCTAAAATGCATGAGGCCCTGGGCTCAATCCTCATCATTGCAAAAAAATAAAAATAAATCATAATGGTTATTCTCAAGCAATCTTAACATTGTTTTTATATAAAAATAAATATAATGGTAAAGTAGTTCAGCTTTTTATCCTAATAACCATATGGGTTCCTGGGCTAATCAAAAAAGGGCAAGGTCTTTAACAATATCAGCACTATACTTCCTTGGCTAGTAACAAAGTGGGAACGGTGACCTGGAAGAGTTTCGATTAGTCAGGTACACAGTGGGTCCGAAGTTATGTAAATACTCTTTCTTAATTAACTAAAATGTGGATGGGGGACCCTGTGTTCCCAGTACCTTTCAGAGATAAAACCATCCGAGGACACCTGGGCTCCAAGTATTTCTTGAGGTCATCCCAGGCCTTTTTAATAGCAGCATAGTGGTTAATGTATCGTCCTACATCTGAGTAAGTGTCTATGAAGATAGACTTCCAGCAGCGATTCTTCCGGGCTTTCTCTTCCCTAGGTTTAAAAAACAAGATTAAAAGAAAAACCTTTTGAAATTATATTAACATACCTTTTTTCTTTTCCTTTGTCTTTTGAGACAGGGTCATATGTAGTACAGGCTGGCCTTCAACTAGGGATGTAGGTAATGACAGCCTTGAATTTCTGATCCTCATGTCTCTAGCTGTCAGGTGATAGAATTAAAAATGTGTACCACAAACCTGGCTTAGCATGTATTTTTGATATTTACCAACACACTTTATTGGGAGTTTGTGGTAACTCTTCCTTTTTATTTTCTTAACTTATTTTTTAGCTACAAAGAGAACTTGGTAGCAAGAAGTGATACATCAAAAAAACTGAGTAGTTACTATTGTCATGGTAGGGTTACTAGTCACTTATTTTCTCACTTTCTGCTTAATTTTTTTCCAAGTTTCTCAGTTCTTAACAAAATATATGAATAGTATATACAAATTTCAACTTACACCTAAAAATGTATCAGTTGAAAATAACCTTTTTGAGACAGAGTATGTAGCTCTGGCATGAACTATGATTCCCTCCCTTTACCTCCTAAGTGCAGAGGCTACAGGTGTGTGCTACTGAACCTGGCTTCAATTATAAATATGCAAAAGGCACATGTAGCTGGCCCATTTTTGAGAATATCTACAACCTAACAGCATATTATTTCTCTAGCACATCTATACTGGATCAGTCAGAGAAGAATAAACCAAAACAAATACATGATTTAACATCTTTCATTGCTTTAATTATACAACCATTTCTTGAGTATTCACTTGGCCTCTGAGGACATTAAAAAATGTACACTTTTTTCCCCTTCAAAACGTAGTCTAATCATGAGCCTTTAAAGAATGAAATGTAGGGGGCTGGAGAGATGGCTCAGTGGTTAAGAGCACTGACTGTTCTTCCAGAGGTCCTGGGTTCAATTCCCAGCAATCACATGGTGGCTCACAACCATCTTTAATGAGATCTGATGCCCTCTTCCAGAGTGTCTGAAGACAGCTACAGTGCACTCACATACAAAAATAAATAATTCTTAAAAAAAAAAAAAGACAAAAGAATGAAATATAAACTTCACAGAGGATAAGCAACCACAAAAGGTACTTGAAAGCACTGTCAAGTGGGCTTAGACTTTTTCCTATAGAAAATGCAGGGGCACTGAAGGGCTTAAGAGGAAGCCGAAAGGGGAGAGTTAAGGAGACTATGGTTTGGGGGGTGGGAGATTTAAGCGTGAAAACTAGGACCATTACAGAAGACACAGGAGAGCTCTGAAGCAGTCCTCATGAGGGGCAATAAACTGAAGCAAGCTGAGCAGGTGAAAGGAGTGGAGACGTGCAGAAGCACTAGCCAGGAAGACTAGTGATCTTGTCAACACAGAGAAAGCCTGAGCACCAAGAGGACTCCTAGTTCTGGCTGGGGTTCAAGGATGGGTGCTACCGTGAAGACTTGGAATGTAGAATCAAAGCTTTAGATATGAAGGAAACAATAAATCAAAACAGAGGTATAGTGCTTCTTCTGAAACAGTGTATATAACTCAGGTTAGCTCAAACTCAGGATCTTCCACAGTCCTCCAAGGGTAGATGAGGTGTGTATCACCACACCGGATTCCAGGTTACATTTTATTTGTTTTGTTTGTTTTGGGGGAGAGGGCTTAAGGAGGGAAATGTGTAAGTAACTGTAGCATGCTCGCCTCGAGTGAGGTACAGATCAGGTACAAGACTCACCACTGTAAAAACTGAGATTTGATTTTTTAAAAAAAAAAAAGGCTTTAGTTCTAAGCCTTTAGAAGTATTTATGGAAGCTGTTTCTGTATTTCTATATCCTTATGCCTCTGGTCCTTGATTTACAAATTTTATATATAGCAGGTGATGCCCAAAAGTTAAAAATGAGTACTTATCAACCCTTCAAATTCCCCCTTCCTCCTTCTTCCTCCTCCCAATACTTGACAGCTGTTATTAACTTTCCCTTGGTACAATTATGACTTTCAGCTTTAAAAAATATTCCCCAACTTTACTGCCCCTGACTTCCATAATTGAACAAAACACATTAGGTGTCCTTTCCTTCCACATCTCCTAAATCTCACTGTCATCTATGTTTTTATTCTGGCAATATGGTAACTTTGACTGGACCCAGTAACAGAAACTAGGGTTGGAAAGGAAAACCAGTACAGACTAGCATTATAGTAGTCCAAGGTCAGGATTCAAAACTATCTATTCTGCACTAGGAGCTGGGAAGGGGAAAAAGGCAAGGGATTCCAAGCATCACTGGAAACAGAGCTAACTAGAGGGGAAGCATCAGTATGCGATGACTACAGTTTACTAACATTACTGTATGTTTTATAACATGTTATAAGGAACTAAAAGCAAGGTTTTGGAAAGCTCCAAATACAATGAATAATACACACTTAAGGAGATGCAAATGCAAGTTAGCCTTCTTATTATATATGTGTATGTCCACTGAATTGTACTTTAGCCCATAAACATAAACAACTATTGTTTATGTTTATTAATTAAACCTTGTTTATGTTAATTAAGCATTGTTAATTAAAAATTTTTTATGTTTATTATCAATTAAAATGCAGTCTAGTGCAGCAGTTCTCAATCTGTGGGTCATGACCCCTCTGAGGGTTGAATGACCCTTTCACAGGGGTCACCTAAGACCATCCTGCATATCAGATATTTACCTTATGATTCATAACAGTAGCAAAATTACAGTTATGAAGTAGCAATAAAAATAACTTTATGGTTGGGAGTCACAGCATGAGGAACTGTATTAAAAGGTCGGTGCATTAGGAAGGGTGAGAACCGCTGCTATAGGGCCAAGTGTGGTAGCTCACACGTGTAGTCCCAGCACAGAAGAGGCTGGAGCAAAAGGACTGCCACGAGGCCAAGGCCAGCCTGGACTAGAGAATGAGTCCCTGTCTCCAACAGTGAAAAGTTTACTCTAAAACACTACACCATGTCCACAAAGGAAGGAACGTTCACATAATACTCACTCAGATATCAGCCAGTATTTTTTGCAGTGTCTTCTCCACAGTGGATCATGAGTTGATAGCTGGCTAAGTCTTCGACTAACATAGCAACAACTGGCAGTAACCAGATTCAGTTAGTATAAAAGGGGAAAAATAAAAATCAAAGATTAAAATAGTAATTGTTGAATCTTAATTCCCTTTATTGTTCTTATTTCTATTTACTATCCATAAAGCTGCACTGCGGTGTCTTTTAAAATCTACTTAATGTGTAAGTTAGAATAATTGCCCTGTGAGTAATAAGAAGAAAACAATATGCTGAGTCAAATTAAACTCCCAATAGATTGATACAGCTCAACCAAATACAGTTAAGCAAATATGCACCAAAACAATTAGAGCTTGGCAACAGGTTGTATACTTGGCTAAGTAGGACAGACTGCAACGGGCAAGAAAGAAACTGCAGTGTGCTGGATGAGTCTGTAGACAAAAATAGGATTCAACTCTACTCACTGCCACAAACATTTACAGAGGGGTCATCTCACTCCAGCTTAAAATTCTGACTACTACCTAAAGCTTTGAACTAGGAGTCTGTTCTTACAAGAGGCTACACGATCTCACCAGCCACACTTCATGCAGCCTGTTAGTCATTTCTACCTTTAGCAAAACCAGCTTTCCAGTTTTTCTAGTTGAACAGGCCACACTATTGGTAAGAAACCCATCAGCCTCTCAATACTGTTCCTCCACCAGGGCAGAAGTGCACCCTGCCACACTTGATGTTTTTCACTGTGAGTGGGTCATCCTGTCTTCCACATTCCTTACGAGTACAATATACATATTTCTTCCCAATACTTGGCCCCTCTGGTAATTACACACTTGTTTGACTTTTCATCTTGTCTACAGTAGTCAAGCTACATATAAAAGACCATGTCTCTCTAATTCACTATTGTAATCCTACATTTAACTGGCACATGGCAGACATTCAAAGAAACAAAACAAAACAAACAACCCTGAGCAAATGAATACAAAAATAAACAATCCTTACACTCTCGAAGTACACGCTCTGTTACTACAAACTCGGTAGTTGAAGAAGACAGTGGGAGAGTAAGGTTGCTAACTGAGGAGAGTGAAGTATTCCAGACAAGGAGCAGAGCATACACAACCATGTAAGCCGTCTGAAGGACTGTGCGAATATGATAGTGGAGGAAAGGGCCTGAAAGGCCTTAGATAATAAGCTAGTGGATAAGGGCCTTAAACACTGCAGAAGTTCAGGGTCCAGTGTGTAAACAGAGCTATCATGGGCTCTTAAGAAGAATGACAGCCAGACTGGTCTTTAGAACGTAAGGAGTTCAGGGTCCAGTGTGTAAACAGAGCTATCATGGGCTCTTAAGAAGAATGACAGCCAGACTGGTCTTTAGAACGTAACTCTGGCAGCAAGCAATCGAAGAAAGGTTGTCTAAATAACAAGTTACAGCAATAGAATATTTCAGATGAAATACATTTGAGCTGGCCAGCCTTCCCTGCAGAAAAACTTTCTCTGTGTTAGTACAAGAGTAGAGGGAAGTGTGTTTTCTGGAAAGACAAATAAATGCCTTAGCAGGTATGAGTGGAGGCCACAACAGAAACCCAGAAAAATACCTCTGCCACCACTTAGCCCAACCAACAGCTACCTGTAACTCCATGAAATCTGTACCTCTTAAAGGGTCCTAAAAACCAAGGACACAATCATCAAATGCCCAGGATCCAGTAATCAATCAAAAAACAAAAGTGTCTTCCCCATATGAGAGGGGCCATTTTGCAGCCTCTACAAATATACACGGAAGCACAAGAAACCCAGGCCATGCTGTCAAGAATGTAAACAATCCTGACACAGGGGGTGAAGGTGATAAGAAAGAGGTGTACAGCAGGTCCATTTGTCCCTCCACCCTAAAACAGTACTGATTTCTGAAAGAATTCTCTCATGCCCAGTGTTTATTTTTGGAGTAAATATTGGTCAACTGGGAAACCCTGAGGTAAATGCAGTCACCTGTAAGGCCTCACCGGAAGTCGATGACAAAACACAAAATCCAACCACCCACCATAAAAACGAAAACTGACAGCCAAAAAAAAGTCGCAGATAGAAAACAAAGTGCATGTAGCCCGCGATCACGATGGCATCAGAGAGTCAGAAGGTCGCAGGCCTCCTCGCGCGTATTCTACCTGCCCACGAGGGCCCTGGTCATCCTGGACCCCAGGCCCGACAGGGATGCGCGTGGGCCGAGACAGTGGCCTTTCCACAGCGCTAGACCAGGCCCCAAAGGGCCAGCGAGGGTCCGCAGGGTGCAGCACCATGGAGCCGCCTCTCTTTTCCGCAACCCGGCCTAGCCGAGGCTTGAAGGAAAGGGCGCTAAGTTCCCGGGGGCCTAGGCCTGGACAGGAATAAGACCTGGATGCCTAGACACCTCCTCCGCGTCTCCTTCAGCCCCCGGGGTGCTCTGCGGGATAACGGCCGCCCAGCAGTCACCCTGCTGCGGAGGGAGCCCGCGTCCAGCCAGCGACCCCGGGTCTCCTTCCCCGCCTCCTTCCAAGTTCCCATCCCTGCCGAGAGCACCGCCCCATTACTTGATTAGGTCCCTGTAGTCCACGAAGGATAAGATGAGCAGCAGAGGGTCGGTGGGCAGCGACTCCAGGGTCAGCAGCCCCGTCTCGGCCTCAACGGCAGCCATCTTGCCCGGCCCGCTGCAGCCTGGCACCACCCCGGCCCCGCCCCCTCCGCCCGAACCGCTGCGCGGCCGCTTGCACAGGTTAGTTATGTAACTGTCACCCGGCCCCGCCCCCGGGATGCCCCGCCCACCCCGCGGCCTGCCCTGCGGGGGCGCCGCCGACTCTAGTCTTCAGTTTATCGTAGTTGCCGTAAAGTCCCATCTCCTAAGCGTAGCCAGGCGCCTGCCAGTTTGTTTCCGAGTCTTCAGTCTCTTCTTCTGCGCATTTTATATCTAATATCCTCAAAGCCTCTCCCTAAATCTCACACTAACTCTACCTGGCCTTTGGGTCCCAAACCCATTGCTTCATTTCCAGTCCATGGTCTCTATTGCCAGCCTCGAACTCCCATCGCCACTCTCACCCCCACCTGTACTCTGAATAGCTGCTATGAGCCTTGTCCACTTAGGAAGGAAGGGATGATGGGGAAAGAGACACAGGGGAAGACACTCCAACTTTTGAAATGATAGGGAGGTTATAATTCTTCCACGGCCCACAAAGCAAAACCGTCCTAAAAAAAAAAAACAAAAATGACCTCTGGATAAATTCCTCATCTAAGATACCAGACAAATGTTAATTGCTCAAGCCCTTACCACCAGGCTTCTAAACCTACCCAGCCCAGAGAAAGTTTCTTCCAACTACTTAGTGTAAGAAATAATCAAATACAAATATTTTCCATCAAGTACTAGAAAACTTGAATTTAGGACAAGGAATTTGATTCTTTTTAACCTTCTGAGCACACCCTCTTGATAAGCATAAATTTGTCTTGCCTAGACACAATAGTTGGAATGATGATCTCTTTATTTCTAATATCAGGACAGAGGAAGATATGATATAGCCTGCCCCTCTGATGAGTTTCTCTCAACTACTTAACTTGGTTGGCATGGCAAATTTTCAGCCTACATGTAAGTAAAAAGTAAGGAAGTTGAATTTTTTTAATTTTATTTTATAAATTCGGATTTAATACCACAAGCATGGGGGCTGAACTGAATGACACCGCTGTAGGATGGGAAGGTGCAATTCTTCAGCTTTGTAAAGATGCTATTACACCGAGTTTGGAACAGGTATGGTGGACGGTGAGCAAGGAGTGAATTCCTTTCAGTTGGTTCAGAGGGGTTGTGTGGTGAGAGAGGCCTGGGAAACCCAAAAGACGTCACAGGCCAGTCACTTACAATTCCTACCTTACCAGGGACATGCCCTGCAGCCTGGGGAGCACTGACGGGGACAGAGGACTGGCTCTGCTCTTTAGAATGTGGAAGGGTCACTGCATAACATTTGGTTGGGGAAGAGACAAACCCAAATAGCCCTAGAGAGCAATCTAGGCTGTGTCAAATTGACAATTAAAGCTAACTAGAACTCTGAACAAAATACTAAAATTTTAAATGAAAACAAGATCACACAGTTCCCTACTGAAGCTTGAGGCCAAAAGGGAGGAAATGTACCTCTAAATATGTGCTTTTATTTATTTTTAAATTATTTCTTTCCCCTCGCTTATAAGACCTACAAGGTCTTGCTTGGAGGTGGGGAGGTCAAGTTCTAAAGGGTCTTTCTATGATAGCCTACAGGTGTCCTCTCTCCACGTATAAAACACAGTCTTTTAGGAGCCATGAGAATTTTCTGGGATTTATTATATCTTCCTTTTTCCAACCTAGGGGTCCTTCTTAGTGAAAGAAGAGAGCTGGGAGCTAGGGTTGGCTTGGGAGAGTATGAAGTGGGGCAGTGCTGTCAGGTGCGCTATACTCTGTTTTTAGTCCTCAGCCCCCAATTTGTATTTTCATCAAACAGTACCAGAGCCCAGTACCGTTGGGCCATGAACTGAAGGTTGTGTACCACCTGCAACCTTGTCTCAGTGCTGGGGGATCTGGACACCCTCCTGATTGTAATGAGGTAGCTCGTGCACTTGGGAGGCCAGGAGATGGAGAGAAGGGAGGATCATAACTAGGACGGCATCACCAGAACAATCTGGGCTGAAAGGCTGCCGAGTGAATAGGGCCGAAGTGGCGCTCCTCAGCAGAGCTCAAGAAAATCCTGAAGTGTGTTTATGCTTTACGGTGGAAAGCAGGGAGAAGGAGAAAAGTACAGGGGTGAAGATTGCGATGCTGACACTGGCGCTCAAAAGGCAGCCAGCTGGATGGGTCGGGAGAAACTGTGGCCCAGATTTAGCTGCTGTTGTGAAACATGCAGACATCCATGGCTAATGAGAAGCATGGAAGGGACCTGAGACGAGTATAGGCAGAGGCACAGCAGCTTCTCACACTGAGTCCTGGAAGTTGGTTGTCTTGTCCTATCTTTGGCAGAGTCTTAAGAATTTCTGAATTCACTGAACAAATGGGGTGTTTTGATTTTTTTTGTCTGCAGCAATCCTCTTGTTTTCTTGGAATCCAAGGATATAACCTTGGCCAGGTACCTGGTTTAAGTGAAGAGTAAATAGTCTTGCCAGGTGGATACATTTTAAGTGTTTTATATTGGTTGTTTTCGATATGGTGGATGGAGAATATGTCCAAGAAAGACTTGTAATCCCAAAGCCTGCCAACACTGTATTACTGATATGGTGTCTCCTACTAGATAGAGTGGGGAAATGCAGTATTTTCATGCAAAATTCCACACTTTCCAGGATGATGAACACTGGCGCCCATCAACTCAAAAGTCCTGTAGAATTAGGATGCTCCTATGTCTGGAACCTTACTGTGTTCTATTGAGAGCTAGACAGGTAGACGGTCTGTGTCACCGAAGACACAGCTAAGCTATAACCCGTTGGGGGCCGACTCTGAGCAGAAAGTAGCTATCATCTTTGCAGCCATCTCGAGCCATATACCCTGACAAGAGACTTGTTTTCAACAGCCCACAACAGCTGAGCACAGTCTGATAATTATCTTGCTTTTCTTACATATCTTGTTTTGTTGTTTAATGCCCCCAGCTGCAGGGTGCACGTGGTAAAGTATCTTCAGCTGCGTTCCCCTGCTTGTGCTTATATATACCTATAATTTCCTTTCAATAAAGGCGAGACTTGAGGCGAGACTTGAGAAAAAGAATAGATCAGACTCTGTCTCATCTCCATTCTTCGCGTCTCTGTCCCCACTCTCTCTCTTGCTAGGCCCTGACCCGCGGACCAGAGCAGCAGAACTGGCCGTTAAAATATCCATGTCATCAGTAACACTTCTTATGCAAACTCAGATGGGCTAGATTTTATTTTACTGTCAATACTCACCAGTAAAAGTTAAGAAGTAGTCTCTGCCTTTCTCGGTGCCCAGAGGGCTGACCGCTGAGCTCCTTCACTGCTCTCTCCTCTTATCTGGTCTGCTTGAACTCAGCCAATGGGATGTGCTGGGGAGAGGGCGAGGAAAGAACATTTATTCTCCATCTGTGAGGGTCTGGCTGTGCTTTCTGGTGAAAACGTCTCCTGTTGGTACCTTTCCCAGGTCTTTAGCTCCTGGCCTCTGAATCAGATGGATCAGAAGGAATATATTTCCTTGTTAAAGCACCTGTTAAATTTCCTCACAGTCATCCCGGCTAATTCTTTACCAGGTTTTCAGGTATTTGTTCCACCTGACACAGTGCAACTGCCTAGCACTCCTGTTACAGAGCATTTTATTTTAAGAAGAATTACACTTTGGAAACATCAGCTGTTAGGATTTTAGCATTCAGAATTTTAATCTTTTGAAAATGTAATTTTGAGAATTCTAGACTGAGGATTTATATCTTTCTGAATTTCACCTCTGAGGATTACAGTGCTTGGGTTTGTATGTTTGGGGATTATGACTGGGCACCACAGAAACAGCTACTACCCTAGGGCACTGCAAACAGATGGGAAAAGGGAATTTGTGGAACCTCAGTGCTGTGAAGAGGGACCACCAGCAGCCAGTGGAGATAACACAGGGCTTCATCTTCTGATATATGAGGTGCAGACCCTAAACTTGGTGTTGTGATCTCTGGGCTTGGATATCACAGCAAGTGGCTCACAACAGATGCTCAGAGCTCTGCATGGAGAACTGGCAGATTTAAGGTACACATGCAAGTCCCCATACATACCAAAAAATAAAACTACACTGAACTAGGAAAAAACCAGCTAGAGAGCCCAGTTTAAAATGAAATCTGTCTAATCCCTCACACTTAATTGTTTACTGGGATAAAAATATTACACAAGACAGATATTAAAGAAATATTCGTTCTTTGTCTAAACTTCTAGGCACACAAATCACCTGTCTCCTTCGATAATTCTGTTTCCCTGATGGCTTGGTTCTCCTTCGTGATTCCTCATTTGCTGAATTTTCCTATAAACTGCTTGTGGAGAAAGTGTATGTTTCACAGACACTGTAATTTAGGTTTACAATAATATAGTGGTAGCGTCCAACTCGTTTTATTCTTTTGCCTGTTGAATAGTAATTCACCAGAGAGCATGTCCAACGGCAGCACTTGGAGCTGCTGTGCTACGTGCTGCCTGTCACTGGTGGGCTGTGGCAGAGTGACCAAGCCAGCTCAGTCAACAGGCTCTCCAGCACAGGAGTGAGGATTAAAAAGAAAAACGACAATTAGACAACATTGTAGCATGACCCCAGCCTGTTCTGAGGCTGAGGTGGGTTTATTTTTTCCCAACCTGCTTTTATACCATTTTAATTACATGCAAATAATAAGATCAGTTCTAGGTTGAGGAACAAGCAAGGCAATAAACAAAGTCCCGTGATCACTCCCTTGATCACTGTGTCTAAGAGCTTATCAGGATGACCAAGATAAGCCTACTTCCCTGTAGAAAAAAAATAGCTCTAGCTTCCAATATTTTAGAAATCAGTCAAAAAAAGAGCTGAATACAGGGCATTTAAGTTGTCTTAACAGAGTCAATAAACAATATACATAGTTATTCTAGAACATCCTAAACAGTAAAGACCTCTATCATTGAATTATTATCAAGCCCCAGACAGCTTATGTTAGAGGCCCCTCCAGGTAAGTACCTGAATCTTTGACTTAGGACGTCACAGCTGGCCCTTTTGATCCTGAAATTCACACTGGGACTAGGATTTGT